AGTGCAGTCAGGCAAGACGCAAACTGAGCGACGCCTTGCAGCACAAACCTTTTCTTAAAGCACAAACATGATCACGCACATGGAGTCTGACCAATGTAGAGTCAAGCTGACATCAGCAAGATTATGAAAAGAAAAACTTTGCTCAGATGAGACTAGTGCTGGGTATCGACTAATTGAAAAATAAAACTAATGGTCTGTACCAAAATATGTAATGTCTGTGAGTGTGTGTCTGTGTGAGATATTTGTTGCTGTTAAAATTGATTTTATAAAATTGGCATTGAAAGAAGTATCGTTTCGGTGTCGGTGCCAGTACTGAAAATGTTGGAATGATACACTGTCCTAGATGAGAGAGATGTAGTATAATGCCTACAGCTACCAAGTCTATACAGGAAGGCCTCATTCAACTCCTCTTTGAAGTGCGGTCTGATTGTAAGTGCGTGTGTGTGTGTCTTTAAGGTTTGCTGTATGTTTCTGCCTCCCTCATTTTAACATGAATGCATTCTCTACTATAGACCTCCATGCACATCAAAGCCATGCCTTGTCCTTCAAAGGATTAACTCAGAATACATCTCTGCTTGGCCAGAACTTAGTGTTAGCACTGCAGGGCACGGGGGTAACACACACACTCATACAGATACCTACAGTGTACCAGTGTCACACACAAACCACATGTGCTGTATGACATGTTCGGAGTACATTCAGACATCCATACTGATCATAAATACCTGCATGTTGTAGGGTGGCATGTACGAAATGAATATCAGCATCTACATCTAAATATAGAGGTGTCTCTATATTTTTGTTCTCCCTAGTTACATCCATGAGAGTCAGAATATTAAGAACGCCTCTGAATATAATGTAGTCTAGTACAACCTTTAAGTATGACCTCAATAATAAACTTGTAGTTGAATTTATACATTTTACCAAAGACTAAAATATTTTGAGCTTCATAAACACAGGTGGAAGAACCAGGTCTGAGCACCGTCTGTAAAGCTCTGTGTGTGTGAGAGAGTTTTTAACAGGGAGGTGTGAAATGTGTCACTTCTTTTACACTGCTCCCATCTTCCATCCATCCTGGTATTTCGCTCTGTTTTTGCCCCCCCGCTGAACTACTACACTGAACTCCAGACAACATCCTGGTTTTCAGAACTGCTGATCATCCTGACTGACCTCACCCTCACCCTTTTCTGTATGTGCACCTCTATCGAACAGTAAATTCACATTTTATTTACTTATATTTTAAGGAGTTTTATTGGTAAAATGATGGTTAAAAACAGAGTAAACTGGCTGACAGCTTCATTTATGAGTTTATTGTTTTATTTGTTGCTTGTTTTTTATTAAGTTCTTAAGTTACAAAATTAACGGAGTGAAAACATACAGAGCTATGGACAAACATTACCCCGGTCAGTGGATGTGGCGTGAATCTGTTATAATTTATCATTTTATGGCACTAATGATGTGAATATTGAATAATATTTAAGACTTTTGATGTATGGAAATCTAGGAAAATGATGTTGGTATTCATTTTAAATATCTGATAGCAATTTGACTTTGTGCCTTGTTGTTTTCTGCAGCAAACACTGTAGATGCAGGGTCATTGTCACTTTGTGTCCTTTTGCCTTCTGCTGTTTTCTCCACCACTTCATTTCTCTGCCTCTCTGGAATTTCTTTCTCTCACACATACTTGCTTACTGTTGCTTTATTTACACACACACACACACACACAGAGTTTCTGGGCCTCATCATGCAGGAATGTGCAGTATTTCTTTGGATTGTGAGCGAGCGTCGATGCTGAGATGTGGCACTGAAGCAAAGCAAAGATAGCACTCTTTATAACTTGCTTGACAATTTCCTCTGACTAATGACAATCAGTCTTATCAGTACTCAGGCAGTTCCTCCCTCTGCCTTTTCTCACACACTCACCCCACACACACACACACACACACACACACACACACCCCCCAGCCTCAGCTCGATTCGGGCAGCACCGACCACTTCCATATTTTGGCTCTGGCTTCTCTTACTGCTACTGTATCCTCCACACCTACACCTTGCCGCTAACCCCACCTCTTGTATAAAGGTGTATGTTTAGGGTGTGAAAATTAGAGGTTTGAGTGCAGGATGTGGCAGGACTAAGTGCAGGATATAACAGCTCATGTGAGTTCATGACAGGCAGAGGAAAACAGTAAAGACGGCCCATTGTGTGCTGCCTCTTACCTGGGTGATTAACAGTTGTAGGAGCATCTTTGTCTTTATGTGCAACTGACTGAAGACATCTGTGTTTCTAGTCAAGGTGATACGGTACAACAGGGAGCGAGCTGCACCAGACGTGAGCCGAGAAGAGCATTTGCACATCAACAATGTCACAAGTCTGCCAACTGAAACAGGCTTCAGGTAGGCCACATGGACTTCACTCATTCAAGCCCTTTTCATTCTGTTAAAGTGACGGCTGAAAGTGATACATAAATGTTACTAGAAAGATTAGCAGACTGCTGTAGTGACTTCTTACAAAAAATTGACTAGGGTGCTCATTCAGACATAAAGTCAACATGTTCAGATGCTGTCAGATTAATGGGAAGGAGTGCATGACTTCATACTCACCTTGTCTATAGATTGTAAATGTCGTATCTACGATCAGTTTTCCACAACATGACACAAATCTGAACTGAAAGCTGTCACACTGATATAAAGTTAAACAGACATTAAATGCAGGTCTGCTAAGACAGAGCACTGTAGTCATTTTCCTCTTTTATACACAAACATAATACAGTCAATTAAAGGAGGCTTTGAATGAGCTCAGTTTAGTAGTTGAGGGTGTATCTTCATTCATTTTACCCCTGATGTTGTGAGATATAGGTTTTATACCACATGTGAACAAACAGCAGATAATGCATACCTAGCATTATGATGTTTTTCTTTTGCTGTGCATGCAATAATCTGTATAAAGTAGGCAGCAGAATTTTATATTCCGTCTGATAACCCAGGAAACTGATGGCAATATAGGAGGTGAGCAAATGTTGTGCTCTTCAGCTGTAAATGAAGTTATAAAATCCATCACTGCTGCAGCCTGAGACCACTTTTCTTTCTTCGTGTTATTCTTCACTGCACCTCAGTTCTGCAGCTGCTGCACAATCTCTCACACACACACAGTTTTTGGACCATAATAAAGCTGTATGGCACAGAGGAATAAGCTATACCAGACCAGAGGTCTAGCAGTACCTATACATGGTAATACTTAAGATCAGTTCATAAAGAAGATCACCAGACTTGAACTGATATGTGAAGCCAGCAGTGTTATAGATGCCATATGTGAAATGGGCTTATGTGCCATTTGTCATGTGTGACAGGGGGAGCTCCAGTCTGGAAGAGGTGGTGGAGAAGCAGGCCGACCTGATCGAGTACCTGAAACAGCACAACACCTTACTGAGCAAACGGCTGCTCAACCTCACAGCTCAGCACTGACCACAGACTGGCCTCCCTCACGTGAGCCAGCCGCCATGTCTCTGGTGAAAGAGCCTGATTGTTTTCACACTCTAAGAAAGGCTATGTGGGTTTCAAAGAAAGGGCTAAAGCAAAGCTAAACTACTTTGTGAGACATTTTCACCTGATATGGACAGATAATGCAGGATAAGGTGAGATGAGAGTGGACAACAGTTAAAGAGCCGCATTGGGAGGAGGATGGGGAGTTATGGGTCACAGATCAGAGGTGAGGGGTTTCTGTCACTTTTCTACGACCCCCAGTGATCTGTGTATGCTGCCGCTTGTGTTCACATGAGAGAAACAGAAGAGGCAGAATAGGCTTAGGGATCATGTGCACTAAAGTGGAACTGAAGGAGGGGGAGATCCTGGAGGGAGAGGTCATCACTTATCAGGGTCAGACGAGGTAGAGGTTAACTAACACTGTAAAATGAGTAAGTGCTATTTTATCTGTCTGAATGTATGTAAATGCTTTATTTGGTGACTTTTTTCTAATTGTTCAATCAGGTATTTTGTGTATTTGTGATCAGATTTCAATAAAATTTGATTGCTCTCATATTTTTTGTTTATGGTTAAAGAATTTCATGAAGAGAATTGACACGGTACTTTTATGGCTACTGTTTTATGATTTGACAGGTGTTTATATTGTAATTTCCATTTCCCATTTCACCTTTTCCGTCTTAAATTTCAACTGTCACGGGAATCTACGTAAACAAAATATCGAGGTTGTCATTTGAGCCCATAGTGATTCCTTTATGCTCCAGTGTCTGTAACTCAACGGGGAGCACAGCATTTACGACTTGTTCCCCATTGCTGGAAATTATCCAGAGAACTGAAGGTATCAGGATCCCTGTTTGATCTCGAGCATACACGTTTCTTGTTACTAAAAGAACTCAATTTAAGTTGGGCTTAAAAACTTAACCACCTGACACCTAAACCTAAACATTGTTATCCTTAAAGTTGCCACGTTTATTTGGACTTAGTCATTTGTAACTTTAATGTACACAGACAGAAGCTCATGACGTCAAAAACAATACAGTACATTTTTATTAAAACATTTAAATGGAATTCAATAAACATCTGAAGTGCATACATGCGTTATAAACACTGGACAACTATATGAGGATGCTGTTCATCGTAGCTGCAATCATTCAAGATATTTCCAGCTCTTTGGTTTGTAGCTTTTAACTGTAAAATATTTAAAGATAAATGTTGTTTTAGCTCTCTCTCCCTTGTCCATGGCAGTAAAAGTAGTTCTGGCTTTTAAAAGCAACGGAGGGAAGGCGCCTGCATCTGGAGAAACCCTGTGGCCACCAAACTATACAGGTAGCGTTTCATGGTTTACCTTTTCACTTTTTGGAATCTAAAGTAAGTCATGCACAAGCTGAAGTTGCTTGTAGCTCTTCTGCAGGTTGTGTGTTTGTAAAGCTACATCTACAGTACATGATAGTCTTTCTTCATGGTGTCCCATCCCATATTTTTTTCTCCTCTTCACACTCGGTGTCTTGGTGCTGGGATTCATCCATGGTGTTTGTTCCACACACTGCAGTTGCTTCATATTCATGTTTCTCTCCTTAGGTCATCCTTGTTGTTGTGCTTCAAGCTGTAATTGAAAAATAGCATTTATTGTCCTGCTAAGTTCAAGGTAAGAACCATAAAGCAGTTCAAGTCACTGTGAATGGACAGAAGTCATCAAAATTAAAGGTGAAACTTCCTCCTCTCTCCCTACACACTCTTCATGGCACTAAAGCCTTCATCTTCATCATTAGTGAGATTTATGTTTGAGCACTTCACACACCTCCTTAACTGCCACCCGCTTTGTAACCCGGGTTTGTTCCATGTATAGCAGTACAACCCATCGTCTTTTTACACAGAAACAGATGTAAGAGCACAGGTCTTACCTTAGGGGAAGGGTACTCTGGAGTGGAGAGGCAGGCAGCGTCTGTGTGGGCAGTGGTGTCTGTGGTATTTTCTCCTTAGGTTCAGGAAATCTGATGTAAGAAAGGGAGGTTTTAAGTGTTAATATGCAGACTCCAGTGTAGTTTTAGGCGAAAAAGTCCTTTAAATCAAGATGGAAGTCTACATATGGACCCCTGCATATAACCTGTCAGGCTTAATTACAACCAAATGGAGGAGAGCACACTCAATCTGGGCTTTTTAGACAAAAGGATTCAAACTAAATTTTCCACAGTCACCATTTTCCAGGTAAGGATATTTTTGAAACAAATGGGGATCCAGCTCATTCTGGAAAAGCCCGATTTCATGGATGTTAGTGTTTTGTCCCATTTACCAACAGCACTGCGACCTCCTCCTAATAAACTAGGACGCACAGACCTAACACATGATTATTTTTAAGCGTCCCTAATAAATCCACTTGGACTCTTCACATACTGCGAGCCAAGCCCAGGAAGAGATAAAGTGCCAGATGACTTTATGACTCCCCCACCTCTGCACCTGAGCACCTCTGAAAGAAACTGCTCCCCTCGCCTGAAGGTCTGTACACTTGGCACTGCTTCTCTCCGTGTCATGTTAATAAAGCTCGGATATTTGCATGAAGTTTTAACACCGTGATTAACAAAAGCGCGCCGGAGCGCCTTCCCGCCGGGGACAATGGGACTCGTTGTGCGATCCCCGGCGGCGCTCCGCTCCCGTCCCCTCCTCCCTTCATCCTCTCTTCTCCATCATCACATGAGCCTAATCACGGCCGCACGTTCAAAGCCTCCACCTTTTAAACAACAGATGTGTGTGTCCGCCGCCAGGCCGAGAGGCAAAATTACGCAAAAATGCACCTGTTACAAGCAATAGTCGCACGATGTCTGCTAGTTTGTAACCAGATCCCTGGCCGCGCGTCCATGTGTCCAAGTGCTTTCAGTGCGTAGAAAAACGCCTTGGAAGTAAATTACAAGTGCATCCATGCCATTTACCAGTAGTCCAACGCTTTTCCACAACGTGTTAATTTGTCCGACAAGACGTGAATGCAGCATTTAATGTGCGACAACTAGTCTGTTATTGAGTGTATTATCGCGATTTTACCGTCACCGCAGGCGGAAAAACATGTTATAATAAAACGGTCTTAACTTTTCTTTCCCCCAGAATCGACTTTATTGACCAAGTATATTAAAGAAGAGAATTGTATAGATTATTTTTTGTAGGTGTTAAACTACTTAACGTAGCAAAAAGAAGAATGCTATGGCTACCTGCATTTTAAAGTAGCCTACACTGTGTAGCGATTAAAACCCTGATCGGGGCTTATGTTTGGACTGTCCTGGCCGATTTTAACGGACAACTGTAAACCATTTCCATTGCTTCAATCAATCATTACCATTGCCACTCTTAAAATAGGCGCAGAAATAAAGTCTTCACTTTCTGGATGTTTGAAATGACTTGTGCCCATTTGTTTAAGCGAGGTTTGTTTTACCAAAGAGCTAATTAATCTGGGAAGGAGTACTGTTACTTACATAGTAATTTAGCACGCTATTTAAACCTGACCTGAACTTCTTGGGATGCTCACCTGGTCTGGAAGATGAGATTGGTGCTACAGCAGCTGCAAGCAGCAGGAGCAGGTAGAGTAGGCTGAAGATCCTCATGTCTTGGCTGCAGTTGAAGACCTTAGCTGATGATGGGGTTTCAAAACTGTGCAGAGTCTCTCTGGCTCTGTTCTGGACTGGACTAGTGATGCACAATGTGGTTCAGTTCTCTCTCTCTCTCTTCTCCTCTCTTTCAATCCAAAAGGCCCAGCACCAACAATGTGGTTCAGTTCTCTCTCTCTCTTTTCCTGTCTTTCAATCCAAAAGGCCCAGCACCGAGAGAATCCAGGACAGAGTAGCACCTCTTTTCTCAGGGTAATCAGTATGTCCCAGGAATGTGTCCAGAGTGTTTGTGTGTCTAGTGAGAGTCTGATTGTCTCTGTGTCTCAGGGCAAAGTGACAAAGGTGCTTCTCCCCCCACCTCCTTTATACAACCTCTTTAGAGGGAGGGGGAAGATAAGGGGGTGTAGCTCCCACAGCAGCCCCCATCTCAACCCATGACACACACAGACACACTATCTGGCACATAGACTTAGCTAAGCATTGCACATATTGACCACACATGTAGAGGGTAATTCAAATGTCAGGAAGCCCCCTCCCTAGCCTCAGACTGTCCCTTGAACACATGCTGCTTTTTTGCTTTTCTTTTTTTGTATGCATGGTTTTTATGAGTGATTGGTATATTCAAAGAGAGTGGAAGGAGCAGGCAGAGTAGATTTATCATGTATGGCTTGAGAGCAAAGATTTAAGAAGCTGTAGTTGAAAGTAGCAGGATGCCTCCTCCCTCAGTTATCCCTACCCCCGCACTGAGGACACACATCTGGGGCTTTTGGGTGGTGTTGATGGAGGAGGGTGTTTGCACCAAGCATTTCGGAGCAGGGGAGCTGATTGAATGAAATCCATAGATGCACTGGAATAATGATAGCTCGATTGTCTGTCTGGGCCTCCGACTGCGTCTCTGTCTGCACAAGTCTCTTTGTATCGTGCTTTTTTTCATCACAAAACTTTTTCCTTAGTCAGATAAAACTTTCTAAAAAGACACCATCAGTTTTTTTTCTTTTTGAAAATTAGGTTTTTAAGATGGTGTCATCTCTCTAGCTTCACAACATAAGCCCAAAAGAAGTTTAGTTCGTTTAGTTTGGTTCACTTTTTTTGGTACCTTCTCTTTAGTCAGGGTATCAAACTATAAAACTGGCACTGAATCCATCAGATTTTTACAGTTTATTTTTTAATCACCAGTCAGATTTAATGTGTGATACTTTGGGTTTTGTTTAAAACCACAGTGCTTTATTGGTACCAAATGCAGCACTTGAAAGCTTTGAAATTTGTCAGGTATTATAAGCTGAGCTGGCACAGGATTGTTTACTTATTGTTTGGTCTGAAAGTGAGTGATTTATAGAAAAATCTGGCCAATTTCAGACAAATCTGATGAGCCTAAGTTGTTGCATGGCTGCTTGTGGTTAGATATTTTTTTACCATTTGAAAAATGTACATTTTCTTGAAGTTAGAAAACTTATATTTTTAAGGTATTAGTATTGAAATATTCCATCCGTACCAAGCCCCACTTCTCATGCAGGTTGGCATTGGTGGTGTACCAGGGGATTTTCTCTCCAGCAGGTTAACTCACTTCACTTGGCAACTCTGCAGTTGCTGGTGGCTTTGCAAAGTGTGGGGACTCATTAGCGTGTCTCCATACGGCCGTCTCTGTGGACTGAGACTCTCCATTCAGCACCCAGATAATGAATTAACACATTAAGATGAAATGTCAGCCATTACATGTGAATGAGGATTAGAGAAGCAGCAGGACACTAATGGGCCGCAGGGCTCAAAATAGTCACAGAGACTTTGAACAAGCATCTGGACCATCAGCTCTCTTTAGCCCTGAAAACTAGAAAAAAAGGGACTAGAGTCTCAGTTTGTGGCTAGTGTTTGTGTGTGTGTGTCAATGTCATTATGCATTTAGGAAGTTTGCCTTTATTGCTTTATGGTGTTTGCAAAAATGTTGCTTGAAATGACAGAGATTCCCTGTAGGTTTGGGTAAAGCACAAACACGTATACTGCATATACACACATCTTCATCCTGCTGTAAACACTCAACTAAGGTATGTAGTTTGTGTCTATGGCAAGCCGCACTTTGCATATCAGCTGCCATTGTCTTTTAAAAACTTTTATTTTCCCTATTTAAATATGCTAATTTGGCCTCAATTGTCATTCAGAGCCACCTGGTGTCCACTGCCCAGTCGCTGCTGCCAAATCTCAGGTTCTCTCTCTGTGTCTCTGTTTCTTTCTCTTCAAAACAGAAACAAGTGAATCTCACCAGATTTTCCCCACCAGGTTTTCTGTGTGACTGATTAGAGCATGTTGTAATATTTGCGCTTCCTGGGGATTATACATCTTTCCAGGGATTACCCAGTCTGCTCTAACACTCCCCTACGAGAGAGGCGTGCACAAATGCAGGATAAAAAGGCTTTGGTACATTGGCAGAGCTATGCTCCATAGATGAACCTCACCTATAAAAGGTGAAAAAGCTGCATGTCAAATTGTTTAACCTTTAAAATATATTTTTTTAAATAAGAGCCGGTCATAATTTTTCAGAGTCCAAAGTGACTCAGACTTGTTCTGTCCCATCAGCAACAGTACAAAACCCACAGATGTTCACTTTACAATGACGCAAGCAACAAATCTTTACACCGGAAAAGCTGAAAGCAAAGAGTGTTTTGTGGTTTTGCTTAATATGTGACTTCAATTTCAATTATCAGAATTATTTGTATTAATCAAGTAATAGTTTCAGCTGTACTTGATACCAACTGAACTGTGTCAGCACAGCTTCCAGTATCTGAAGTACTGCTGGCTTTGAATGTCTGCTCAAGTAAAGTTCGATCATTTGACTAAATGGTGATCAGTTGATTAAATAGTTAATAGCTGTTATCACACATGAACTCTGGACTATGTCTGCTGAATCAGGTCTGGACTTTGTCTGGAGTTGCCCTTTCACACATGTAGCACACAACAGGAGATGGTCTGCGTCAGATGCGTTCTCATCTCCTGGAAAACACTTCATTTGTTAACTTGGGGGGGGGGGGACATGATGTAGTCATATAGCCGGTTGGTAGTTTGGCCATAAACAACCGAGTCTCATTAAATTTGTTTAACGATTCCGGTGCCGGCGCTTAAGAACAGAAGTTATCAAATCACATTGTGTCTCCAGTTAAACATTTTCATTGGTTCATTGTAAATGACTGTTCTTCTTCATCACTGGATGTTTGTTTTTTTTGCCAGTTTCATATGATTGAACGTCATCAACACACCTTCACTAGCTCCATGTGAATACTCCAGACTATACATGCTTGTTGGGCAGCACGGTGGCACAGTGGTTAGCGCCGTTGCCTCACAGCGAGAAGGTCCTGGGTTTAGGCCCCACCTGGGACCTTTCTGTGTGGAGTTTGCATGTTCTCCCCGTGCTTGCGTGGGTTCTCTTCGGGTACTCCGGCTTCCTCCCACAGTCCAAAAACATGCAGCTTAGGTTGATTGGTGTCTCTAAAATTGCCCATAGGTGTGCGTGTGTGTGGTTGTTTGTCTATGTGTTAGCCCTGCGATGGATTGGCGACCTGTCCAGGGTGTACCCCGCCTTTGCCCGATTGCTGGCCGGGATTGGCTCCGGCCATGACCCCGTTCAGGGACTAAGCGGTAGAAAATGAATGAATGAATACATGCTTGTTTTCTTACATGGGCTCATTCCAGCTCCACCAGTGCATATCTGAAATGATTTAAATCAGTTTTAGCCTATTTAATGTAAACTAGTGTCCAGATATCATTTAACACTGCATATTTGCGAAAAATGATTTTTGAAAAAAAGCATGTTTATATTTGTCAAAGTAAAGAACTGGGAAAAGTATTGCCCTGATTCTCAAGCTTAAAAAAGTATATATTTGCATTTTGGGGAGGTGGTTTAACAAAACAATGACGTTTGAAGATGTCACCTCTAGTTGTGAAAAGCAGTGACAGGCATTCAGTTTTTGACATTATATGTAAGGTTTACTGAAGATAATAATCAGCAGATTAATAGGCAATGAAAATAATCATTATTTGCAGCCCTAATTCATATTGAGATGTAAAATTAAGTATATTGTGATGTAAAACTTTACCTATATTGTCCATATAAATCAGTACTTGCATGCTTGCATGTGTGTGCCATGTATGGAAATATCTGTTTGCCATTCATTTTTAAAGTCAAACTTATTTGTTGTTAAGTTGGAACTTCTTATAGTGATATTGCTGTGTCCTGAGATCTCAGGAATTTTTGTGAGTGCAGCGTTATCACAACCAGCTGAACCGATCTGGAAATAAAGCCCAGGCTGTACTGACCATATACAGTCATTCAGGTTTGAGTGAGAGTAGCAGAGACGTTCTGTGCCGTGTTGTCTGAATTTTTGGGGGTGTAGTCCATGTGTGTACGAGTGTTGATTGTGATCTGATGGGTCAGTTTGTTGTCCATCGTTAGAGTGATAGTGAGTCTGTTGTCATGCCAGATGTCATCAGAGTTAATGAGGGTCACGGGCCCCAACCAGCCAGTTTAATTACTCTTAATGCCCATTATCTCAAATTGCCCAATACAGATCCCAATGGATGCATATGCACACGAACAGCAGCGAACACCCAATACGCACACGGATGGTATCGAGCATTTGAGTCACAACACAAATGATCTGTGTTGTGTACAGTGAAGAAAAAAGATTTCACAACAGTCAAGAAACTCTCTCTTTTTTCTGGAGCTCCTACTCCGTGTCAGCAACTAGACGACTGACTCTGAAGGAGTGACGGAGCTCTCAGGGGTCAAGGGGCAAGCTCAAAAAGGGAGCAGCCTCTAACACCACATGATGTCACCCCACAAGGGCTTCAGGGGCCAAAAGTCACTGGGTTTGTTAAATGCTAACCCAGACATAGCGGCTTCTTTGTACACACAACCCAGTGTTGAGACTGTGCTTAGATTTTTTTTATCAAATCCGACTGAAGTTTTAGCCTTGTTTTCATTAACTTACAGCTTCATCTGTAAATGTCCTTTTCAGTGAAACTAAACCAGTGTTGACAATGTGTGATCAGAATTGCTAATTCAACTATTTTAGCTATTTAATTTATAACAATCTATCATGTTTTATGAGCTGGTAATATATATCTTATATGTAAAATAATTTGTGAAGTATGTAGTAACTACAACTGTAAATTAATAAATGTTGGAGAGAAAAAAATGCATCATTTCCATCTGACATGTAAAAGAGTGGAAGTATAAAGTAACAGAAAAATTGCACTATCCCAGTAAAGTACCTAAAATTTGCACTCGACTATTTCAGTAAATGTCTTCAAGTACATTCCACTATTGGACATGGTACATGCTTTACAAATCCCTGTCTATGCTAAATTGATTTTCAGCAATGTATGTTATGAAGCACCGACATGTTTAAAAAATGTTCATTGGCTCAGAGGGAGGCTGCATCATTCATGGGTTACAGGGTTATTTTTGACTTATGGGTGAACTCAGGTTGCTTCACGACCTTGTTTCATGTCTCCTCACTCCTCAGATGACCTGGACATTGTTACACGACATGGGTGAACTCAGGTTGCTTCACAACCTTGTTTCATGTCTCCTCACTCCTCAGATGACCTGGACATTGTTACTGCCCCTCGTTATAAAGGACGTCTCAGTCCCTTTACTACTGTCCAGTAAGGACTGAGGAGCAGTCAAGAGCAACATTTTTTTTTATCAGATTGATACATTTATTAGAAATCTGTTATTGATTTATATCATGACAAATAACAGCTTCAGCCCAGGTGTAATATCAACACCCAGTTTTGATTATATGTGCTCTCATTTAACCATTTATTTAACATTATTTGTTCTAACTTCACACATCATTTCATTCAACTTTCATGATTTGTGAGAAATATTATTTTTATGGTCCTTTTTTCATTTTAACCTGAATCATGGATCATGTTATAGTCAGACAGAGCAGGTCTCCTCTCTTTCAGCAATAAAAATATCAACCATTATCATCATCATCATCAATTTCTACCAGGTGGAAATCCCTGTGCGTCAGGTAGAATGAACATTTTGACAAGACCTATTCACTTAATTTCCGCCTTTACTAAAACTTAGGAGACATTCTCATCATAACCTGGATTGTTCTATAGTGAATTTACAAATAGAATATCAATAAATGCAACAAATAACAATAAATAGACATCATGGCTTATGTGCTTTCAGTTTTGATGCAGTACCTCTACAAACTGGTCTGATGAATCTGTTCACAGTTTACACTAAATATGGAATTCAGGTTTGTAATGAATGCACAGATGCTTGTCAAATTGGGGAAACATTTCACATTCACTTTAGTCATTTTGGAGGGCATCACTACACAGTAGTCATTATTATTAGGACAGTACATTGCATTATCTGTGCAAATACAAACTCAAAGGCATACAGATCCCTTCGCCCTGCAGACTGACAGCTGATCCAGCTGTGCCATTGTCAGCAGAAAGTGATGGAGCAAAGGATGTCTCATTTCACTAGCGTAGGTTTTCTTCATTTTTCTCTCCTCACACCATGTAATTGCGTTTCTCACTTCTTAAATGGGAGGGACTAAGATATGAGGGTGAGATGCAAGTGAAGCGCCCTCAATGTTATAGACTTTACTTCAACATTACATGCCATAATGACATGCTCTAATTCAGTCTTATACATTTAAATATCATTTTGCGTCATCTCATTTGTGAGATCTTGACAGTACAATGAAAACACAGCAGATAAAGCATTACTTTATGCTTCCTCTCCAGCTAGATTGGTGATGAGACTCTGCTTCTTGTTCTTCTTCTTGTTTTCTTCACAGGGATCTTTTTCTGAAAGACAATTCACATGCACTGTTCAGTGCTAGAAAAGCTGGTATGTGTCTGTTTGTATCTCCTTTCAGAGGAGGTTTGGTACCTGGCACGTCTTCATGTGGTTGGATACAGACTGAAGCGAGGCTGAAGAGGGAGACAATGATGAAGGCAAAGATGATGAAGGTCAGCTCAAAGCTAGAGAACGGTAGTTCCATCTACACAACCACCAACACAAAGCATTCGAAGCACAACATTACATGGTTTGACATCTTTTCATTAAGAAAGAACACAATACATGATAAACACTTTGGGGGATATTTATTATGTGTAGCAAATAACCGCCAGGTGTGGAAAATATTGCAGCACTGCAGTTTTTTAAATTTAGCAAACTACGGTATTTACCAGTACAGAATGGGGACACCTTAAAATGCATATCGATTGAGACCACACATGCAAATTCTTGCAGTGCTGCATTTCTTCCGTTTATCCCAATGCGACTCCTTAATTAATATGAACACATGCAATTGCACCGTTTCGTGCCAGAAAATAAGCCACAAAACCTTAGTAAATTTCTCCCTTTGGATTTTATTTTTGCTACCATACTTGTGAAGTAAAAATGGTTTTAAAAATCATTTTTTGCTGAATTGCGATCACAGATACGTGTCTTGCCATCATTTAAAAAACACTGCAAATGTGTACATATGAGGTTCCATTAGACATAAACTAATATTTCTTAATTTATATGTGGGTGACTTAAAATGTGGTTGCTCACATCCCTCTGACTCAATTTTTTCTTCTAACATCATCCATTCAGCATTTGAACAGTTTAACAAATCGGAGACGTGGAACTGCACGTTTGTGGATAAAATTAGGACTTGTTTGGAATTTATGATGAAACTACAGGTTACTGCTAGTTTAAATGCACATTATCCACATGTCCAAATAAATGTTTTTGTCAGCACAAAAGCCACTTGCTTGTTAAGTAACATTCTCATAGCATTATTGTGTACATGCAGCGGAAGTTTCAGTGCCTTCCAGCAGAGGGCGCTATAATCTTGTTATTTGTGACTGTTAACATCTGGCAGGTGTCGGTTTATAATCACTCATTCTTCAGTCTTCCTACAGTGCTATCCGTATATTGTGTCATGTCGCTTTTCACAAATGTACTAAAGCTGAATATCTTTCCTGGACTGGACAGGCACATTTTATTGCAGAATCTTTAATTTATAAATATTTTTAGTCTGAAATATTTCAATAATCCAGTTAGCAGTAAGCGGTGCTATGTTTAAGTCCCACAAAGTTAAGAAAAGCACTAAACTATCATAAAAACAATGACTGGGTAAAACTGGAGGCTCGCATGAATAAAACAGTTAGTGTTGGAAAGCTTTGAAAGTAGGAGAACTCCTCACCTGCTTAACTGTAACAAATATGGTACTTTGTTAATTTTAAACATAAAGTAATGAGAGCATGAATCCAGTCAGTGAAAACATGTTGAACTGTAGTCAAAGAAGGTCAGGAGCTCAAATGAAATTATAAAGAGGCTAAATAAATAAATGATCCTTTCACTGTGCACCATGTGGTTCTATACGATCAGTGGGAGGCTGAATTAATCATAATATCCGAACACAGATGGCCGATGATTCACACATTTGTCATGCTGTCATAGATCTGATCATTCACACACATTCCACCTTTTGATCCCCGACAAGAGCAATTCAGATGCCTCGTTCCTGCAGAATAATATGAGAGCTCGCTCTCGTCTTGTCAATACACCTTTTGTACATTTCAATCAGAGACAACTCTCTTTTGATAAAAATGTCTTGTTGAGCAAATCAAACATACAACAAGAAAAGTGGGAAAAGCAAGAAAAGTTGTTTTGATGTTTTTGAAACTTACCTGCAGAAGGACCACAGCAGCTATTTTCAGATCTGAAGATCAAAAAAGAAGGATTTGTGTGCATCTTCACATACACACAGTCTCTCAAAGAGGAAAGAACACAGGCGTGAGGCACTGTCATGTCACAGTTTGTTGAGGCAGGCGTGTTTTTTATTGAATGTTTTACAGTGCGTCGTCCAGGCCACTCCTTGCCTGATCCAGGACACAAGTGGATCATATAACAAAGTAAACACACACTCAGTGTTCACCATGTAGACTTTGTTCTTGAAACACACACACATGCAGTTTCCAAGGCTTTGGCTGATAAGTCCTCCTAAGACACCAAACAGGAATGTTTCGCACAAAAGGTTTTCATTCTTTGCCATGGCTCTTGTCTGGAGTCACACAATCAGCTCCTCACTTTGTGGTCGTGTCTTAGTCTCTGATGGATTAGAAATAATAAAAATGAACACTTCTTGTTTTGTACAAGATAGCAGTAAAAGAATGATTTGTTTTGCACTCAGGCTCATTATTAATTTGCATTCAGTGAATAAAATAAAATAAAAGCTCTGGTAAACTAAGTGGATTAGTAAAAGTATTTTGTCACAAACCTTAAAAATTTCAGACACTTATAAAGAAGAATTAGAGAAAAAAATGCAAACTGTATAATCAGTTGTATTATTAAGAGGTCCTAAAGATGCAAAGTTGTTATTTTCTACTTATACTATTCACTTGGTGGTTTAATATAATACAAATGCTCTGCAGGCTGTAAAATATTGCGTTATACCAAGGACGTAGTTTTGCATATGGACAATAGTGACATGTCTCTACCAGTATCTGACCAAACCTGTACATATTGTCTTTGGAGTGAAGTCATCAAGTCATTCTGTTGTCCCCTCCCTGAGACTACACCTACAAGATGACATTCTAGCATCCCAGTGAAAAGGGAGGGAGCAATCTAAAGCTCAGGTTACATGCAAATGTCATATTTGCTCCCAGACATGAAGAAGGCGATAGCTGTCAATTATCAGGACTGTTGATCCATACCTCAAGCATGGGCAAACATTTAGTCTGTTAGATGACTTCTTCCCTTTCCTTTTGTTAGGTATTTTTAGTCAGATAGAAATTGGATAGATACTTTATGTATTAGAAATGTTTAGTGGAGATAGGATGTCTAGTTAGACTGTTAAATGCTTAGTCATGCTTATGAGTTTCTACAGGGTACATCTGGTCAAGGATAACTAGAGAGAAGAGTTGATGACTGTCAGCAGACAGGGTGTTTAATATTATTATTACGACGTGTATAACTGTAGCCTTAGCCATAATATGTTCTTATGTTTAA